AAAAAAAAAAAAAAAAAAAAAAAAAAAAAAAAAAAAAAACCTCGAAGAAGAAGATGAACCAGAAGGTAGAATTCTAGAAAAACAGGTGCCAATGCGGTCCCCCTCTTCTTCCCAAAACTGTTCCGGCCAGCAAGCTCTATCTCGCCCCCTAGCCGGGTGCTGGGTCCTCTGCTGCCCATTCCTAGCCACAGTTGCCTCAAAAGCCAATCTTCCACTAACGTGGTCATGATATAATGATGACATTCACGTAAGCTATTCTCGTTTAGTGTACATTTCAATAAATATGGACCTCACACAACTGATGACAATCATACTAAACCACCTAGTAAAGGGAGTTTGCTAGGTTCGTGACTCTTACATCAAATGAGTACGTTAAAAAAGAGAGAAAAACATATTTTGAAAATAATAAAAACTAAACAAGAGTAATACTATTTATCATTATAATGATAAAATGTCGGTGATATGACAATTTATGTAAAATAATGGGATATGACAATTCAATTTTCATGAGAAGTGGTGGAATTGAACTGTCATATCCTATTATTGCACCTGAATTGCCACAGATGTTCTATCATTATAATGATAAATATCATTATTCACCAAACAAGGGCATAATTTCAAATTGTTGAATCAAAATATAAATTGGAGATGCATTGATTCTGTTATCCACTATACAAAATTTATAAATATGTTTAATATATCTTAAGTAAATATCAATCTAATATTCGAGAGTATTTATTTATTTACCATTTTTAATATTAAAACGCGTTAGACCGACAACGGGCATATCATCTGGCGGAGAAACGTGTGTTTCACACTACGAAGTCGTGTTGAAAAATTAATCAAATTAAGTTCGAAGAAAAGGGAAAGCAGGTTAGTGACAATTATTGAAATCCTAATTGGGTAATTCAGATTCAAATTATCACAATCAAATAACTTTAGATAAATTTACCTTCAAATACTAGCCATACATTGAGTGAAATACATTGCGATATAAATTTTAAACTATAATAACAAAATACTGTCATCAAATAGAGTCCATATTGTTAGTCCGTTTCGCATAGGATTACGACTCACTAAGAAATAGTTTTGAGAAAGAGATTCTTTTATTTTTTATTTTTGGTAGGAAAATCACATATTTGAGAATGGTGAGGTCATGTGTCTAAAATGGCTCGTTCTCTGGATGCATTTGTGACTCTAGGAAGGCAGAAGATTGTGTGACTTGATCGTCGATAAACGAGCTTTACCCTTTAGTACAACGTAGATGGCCTTAGAGGGAAGGGTCCTGCTGAATGGAGCCAAGGTCTTCCCAATAGAAAGTCGATCTGCCTAAGGAGAATTTGAGTGGAAGCAGCAATCAGAGTGATAGTAGTGTGTGTCAGCAAATTGAGTTATGGACGAAGAGAGTCGAGTCGGACTTTTCTAATCTAAATGTCCCTTTCACAGCAATTGTTTATTTGTTTATAGAAAAAATGGCATCGTCACTTTTTTTGTTTTATTGTTGGTGACTATTTTGCCTGGTTTTGGGGGTACTTGAGTCAGCCAACGACGTCGCGTGATTCTTAAATTCACATTCACCCAAATTCACTCAGATATATTAATTCTTTCCTAAACATCTATTTTCATAAAACATCCTTCTTGTCCAAAATTTGTTTTGAAAACATCTCTAACAACTAGAATATGCTTGAGTTAAGAATGACAAAATATTCCATCGTCTTATCATAGAGAAAAACTAGGACGACATGTCCCTCTCATACTCTTATTTTCATTTTTTGTTATTTTTTACGTGTTTAAAATTATATTATATTTTATTAAAATAAATAAATTGGGTAAATAGGGTGGGGACAGGCTGAGCTAATAGGTGACTAATATTTTAAAAATTAAATTGAACATTAGTGATTTAATTGAAATTTCCATGAAAGTTCAATAACCAAAATTGAAATTAATCCAAAAGCAACCCCCCACTCACCCCAATAAAGAGAGATCCCTCCTCCAAACCGAATTGATCACAAACCATTCAAAGCCTTTCTAAAAATCTCCCTGCAAATCATCAGTCGAAGATGGGCAACACTGAGAAGTTGATGAATCAGATCATGGATCTGAAATTCACTTCAAAGAGCCTCCAGCGGCAGGCTCGCAAGTGCGAAAAGGATGAAAAAACCGAGAAATTGAAGGTCAAAAAGGCGATCGAAAAAGGTAACATGGACGGCGCCAGGATCTACGCCGAAAACTCCATTAGGAAACGTAGCGAGCAGATGAACTACCTCCGGCTGTCCTCCCGGCTCGACGCCGTTGTGGCGCGGCTCGACACTCAAGCGAAGATGACTACGATCAGCAAGTCTATGGGCAATATCGTCAAATCGCTCGAGTCATCCCTCGCTACCGGCAATTTGCAGAAGATGTCCGAAACTATGGACCGATTTGAACAGCAGTTTGTGAATATGGAGGTGCAGGCCGAGTTCATGGAGAGCTCGATGGCTGGAAGTACGTCGCTTTCGACTCCAGAAGGCGATGTTAATAGTCTTATGCAACAGGTGGCGGATGATTACGGGCTCGAGGTGTCCGTTGGCCTGCCGCAGCCTGCTGCTCATGCCATTGCGACTAAAAACGACGAAAAGGTGGACGAGGATGACCTTACGAGGCGCCTTGCAGAGCTCAAGGCCCGCGGGTAAATTTTGGATATTATGAAATTTGGGGAGAGTTTGGTATTCTTACTTTATGGAGCTCTAGACTCCTGATTACTGATAATATGTCGTATGATGCTAGATTTAATATTTGGATTATATTCTCTATTGCATTGGGCAAGGTATTATTGTATAAATTTGACTATATCGTGATTGCCGATACATGCCTTTATGCCTTAATGTTATGGATTATTCCTGCTTTTGTATTTTTGTGTTAGCAAATGTGTTAACGACAGTGGAACATTTCTCTATTTTGATGAATTGGGTCAATTCTGATTAACTCAAGCTTTTGATGACCACAATATGTGGTTCATCTGATAATTGGTGGCTGCAGAAATTCCTTTTAACAACTATGATTGGTAGAAAAACGGTCCTTTAAATTGTATATGAGTTATTTTGGCTTTGCGTTCTCAAACAAGAAAAAAATTGGACATATTTGCAGGCTTGAGTTGATTGTGCACGCGAGTTGAGTCCGTTCCTTCATTTCTTCATTATTTTTTTGTCCCTCCCTCCCTTCCTGTTAGTTTTTGTACTCTTAAGATCACTTCGCTGTAGTTCTGAAGGCCATAATCTAACTTACTATATGAATGTGGTAAGTTAGCAATCTGCTCATTTTCTGGGGGTCTAAATCTCTTTGACACTTGATTTAGATATTGAGATCTTTAGGCGCTGTAGAAGGCCTATCCATCTACTTTGAATATTCATTATATCCTTTGCTTCATCTGCAGTAATCCCTTTTTGCCTCAAACCTTTAAATAGCTAGTTTTCAGCCGTTTGCTGCTGTCAGAATCATTCCTCGATGTCAGGACTCTTACCTGGGAACCAAAGACCTAGACTTTGGCAACAATTCCCCCCAAACAAAGAGCAGACCTAGACTTTGAAGCCATGGCAATTAAATTCACTGCATAACCGCAGGGTCTATACCCTTTCTTCTTTTTTCATTTTGTTTCTATTAGTCTGTATTGCAATCCTTAACTGCTGCAACCTAAGTACTCTGCTATGTATTTCTAGATCACCCCACCCCAATCCCCAACGAGCTGACCATTTTCTCCAGCTTTAATATAATTGCTATCAGGGCTAGATCTGGAATTCCAATTGCAGTTGCCAAGTCAATTTCTGTTCAACAAAACAAGTTAAGAAGACAAACTTATAATATTCTGCGTGGCAAGTGAGAGTTGATGAAACAGAACAAACGGAAGGAATCAACTTATGTTTATTGCCAATAGATAATGCTGATCTCATTGTCTTCATTCCCATCTTGAACCTGAGAGTAGTTTAATCAAAGAAATAAATGCATACCCCCACGCCCTTAGAGTTTATTGACATTTGATGACTGCAATTTTTGTACTGACTATCTATTTTTAACTGCTTGCTATAGTTTGCCTTTTCGGGACGATGCTTTTGTTCCACTGGTTCCTTCATAAGTTTGACATGTGATAGTTGATACAATGTGGGGTGGTAAAGACTAAAAGTTGGGTTCTAAAGTTGCCTGCCTGCTATTCAACCCACCTTTTTCTATGTCTTTCAGTGATTGTTAAATCTCCTTTGGAGAAGGATATCTTTTTTTTGAGCCTTGCTAGTGCTAGGTGTGTACACCCCGGCTGAAAATAATCGTGGGCCTCACCCCTGTGAGAGGGGTGCCATCCTATTTTTTTTTATAGATCATAATCCAATACGATTTCTAGATGTTCTCTTGCATAAAATCTTCATCTTGCAGCACTCATTTATTACTAAGATATAAGCGTTTATTGTGCAGTTAGAATTGTGCACGTCTCCATTCGAGGATGCACAATTCCCCCAATGGACAATTCAAAATTCTAGAAATTTGATCTTTTCTCTCTTTATATCTACCGATGGGGAATCGACATTTCTGCACGTTCGAGGAATAAATTTCATGCTTTCATAGACAAACTAGTATTTTTTTCCCAGTCCGTTATTGTCTATGTAGCCGAACTTTTTATATTGGGCACTATCGTTGAATGTTGAACATGTTTTCTCCACAGCTTCTACTCTCAAAAACCCTCTATTGTTAGTCATCGCATTGACTGAGAAGCAATGGCAGTTTAATTAAAAGTACGGCCCAACGCAATAGCAGCCAATTGTTAAACAAAGGCACAAACTCAGAAAGTTCAACCGTTGAATAAGAATGAGACTCCCAATAATTTATAATCTTCAACTTCCATTCTAACTGGTGAAAAACCAAAAATATGGCCGGAGTATAGTTTCCACGCAAAATGCTATTTTTCATAAAGTTACACCGAAAACCTAAGAGAACATAGGAAATTAAGCACATGAAATACAAATAAATGATTATTACTGAGTTCTTTCCCTGAGGATATTTCAAGAAAAGCTTTAGTGTGGTTATTTCAAAGTTTTTCAATGATCTCATAGCAAGCAAATAAATGTACAAACCAAATGGATAATTGGAAATCATTCTTTTGAGTTCCCCTTAAGCCACTATAAATTCAATAGAAATATCCCAGAACTTGACCGCCTACATTTTGTCGAATTGCCTCTTCATGATCCAAAACTCCATTTGGTGTTGTAATTACGACATAGCCCCACTGCACGAGGAGAAAGAACAGAGAGAAAGTTAACAGATGTTTCAATGAACTTTAGGGTACAAGGAATTCTTCAATGAATCATTATCAAATGACTGACTAGAACAGCTTAAGTAAAATGAAAAATGTACGATACTAAGGCACTTTGCAAGAACTCCACAATGTATTCAGAGTGGAGAGGGAAAGCATTCCCAATAATAATTTTCAGGTGAAAGAAGGGGTCCAAGGTTTTAAGGGAGAGCACACAAGGCACATCTCTCTAACTTTTGAGCCAAAATTATGGTAATTGTAGTTTTGATAATTAAAAATGGTATTATACTTGACAAAGAATCTAAAACTTCTCTCTTCTTGGAACGTTAAGTTTTCACAAAATAAATTTGAAGTCCTAAATTAACATTATTATATTTTATGATTGATATGAAATAATAAATAAGATAAACTGAAAATTAAAAGTTTGTTGTATTATTAATTTGCTAAGTAACCAGTCGAAATTACAAGAAAACTATCTATGTAACACATTTGTAAAATAAAAGTGATCAAAAAGACAAGCCATAAAGCAATGCTTTTGGTTAAAATCAACTCACATAATAATTGACGTTATATTACAATTGGTATTGTAAATTAACTAGAAACACTGCAAGAGACAAGGCAAATAAATAAGTTTCTGTTCCCTATGAGCTGCTGGTCTGGAAATTAATCTGCATTAATAGTGTACCCAAATGAGTTGATCTACATATATTTACCGTCAATTCTGGACTTCCATTTACGTTCATATTGTACCCACATGAGTTGATCTACGTATTTTTACATTCATTTAAATGCGCATTACCTGTTTGAATCGAACTATATCCATTTACCATTCTTGCACTTTTCACATGAAGTTCTCTTTCATTGCTTATGAGAATAATAGTTGCAAAACGTGTATTTAAACCCTATTTTCAATTCTGATCTTTTCATTTATATTTGAATTGCACCCTTTAGAGTTTTATCTACATATATTCATCATTCATGTACTTTTGGGACAAAGTTTTCATCATGATTTACAAGAAATATATGTTACATTTATAATCTATATTTTACCAATGCATGTCAGACATCATAAAGTTTACACTCGAGGAAGCATAAAATGATATTGTTTATAGCAATAGTTGTTCAATAAAGCAGTCATATGTGAAGCACTGATGTATCATATATAACTCAGTCCGTGTTTCTCCATAAGTTCCAATTACTATACCGATGCCTTTGTTTAAGAAATTTCAACAAGCTAGCCTTAAACTTCTGAAGATCCATGTCATAGAAAGTACTCGTACTATTTGCTGACACTATACATAACTAGTCAGGTGGATCAATTTCTTATATGCCAACAATCACAATTCATACAATTCAGGTGAATTAAAAAACCGCAGGATGATAGCCAACTTTTGGCACATTTACAGCATTATCTTGATTGTGTTCATTTTAAAAAAAAGCTATTTGAGGATACGCCTCGAATCCCGCCTCACGTGAGGCTTCCATAAAACGCTTCAAAGTTTACACCTTGAGGCAATTTTGTGAGGACATTTTTTATTGGCATTAGCCTTTTGAGATATTTCTTTATAATCTGGAATTTTTTTTTCAAATTTCCTTTCTCTAGTGGTGGGTGATGACAAAGAATAAGTATAAACTATTAGCGACAAGGAGGATCTAAATGATTCCTTAAAGATCATTTTGTTTCATGATTACTAACTTGGAAACTTATTGTTTGATACTCTATTAATCTACTTTGCATTTCTTTAAAAGTAAGGTTTCTAATTTTCTTGTTTCCTTCTGCATTATCTAAGATGGTATGTGATTTTCTGTGAGCATAATTTTGCAATTTTATATCTTTTTAAATATTTTGAATGTTTGTCTTGAGGCTATTCTTCACTTCACAAAGATAAAACGCTTCGGTAACCGATTAAGCATTTTTAAATTATGATCATAACAATTTGATGCACAAACTTTGCCAATAAGAAGCAACAATCTATTTGACAATTTAATCACATTCTACCACGCAACATTTAAAGGATAATACACTTAACCTAATTTAATACAATCCAAAAGATGGCAATAGATGGAGAAAGCATGAAATTGCACATATGCAATTATTATTCAGAATAGATTAGTTTGTATTTACATAACACTACTTATCATTAATTTTAGTGCATCATGTCAAAATAAAATTTGGAATTTTCACACACACCATATTTGGGCATATCTAGAAATTTGCAGTGAATTAAATTCAACTTGTTCATAGTAGATTGATGATTCAACTAGACAAATACAACCAAAATCCTCAAATTGTAAACTACAGTTCACTAATTATCATCCCCCATCCCTGTTCAGTCCCAATGAAACCAAAGCAGCATAATAAAACCAAAAATAAGAACAAGGAACAGAGAACCTGATGAGTAGGAAGAGTGTCTGTTTTGTAATTCTTGATGTTATGAGCCTTGATATCCTGTCTATAGGTGATAGCCCGACAATCATTAATCCTCCCCAGAAGCTCCACAGTTATCCTTCCCACTCTTTGTGGGTCATGAACTTCAAAATCCTTAATATACCCTGCCATTTATCCATCAGCTCATACTTCTTCATTTGTCCATCTTTAGGAACAAGTAAAAATCAAACTTCATGGAAAAATCATTGAACAAATAATTCCAACCCATTTCTCTATAATTCATCTTCTGAAGAAGCACGTATATGTCAATATCTACAAACTAGCTATAAAAAAATGAGCTTCAAGAAAATTTCCAAAATTATTCCCACCCATTTCCTCATAAACAATTTTACAACATGGACATCGACTGAATACATCATAAGTACACGTGATACACACTTCACATGCAAACAAACTATAGAAGGATGAACTTCAAGAAATTTTCCAAAATGTATTCCCACCAATTTTGCTATGAATTTTTTTACAAAATTGGCCTCAATTGAAAACATCATAAGTCCATATATAATATTCACTTCACATAAAAACAAGCTATAAATAAATGAACTTCAAGAAATTTTCCAAAATTAATTCCAATCCATTTGCCTATAAGCAATTTTACAACATAAACAGATACATACATATACAGACGCAAATGTACATATATACATACCTCGGTATTTCATGATTTGAAGGAAGGAAGCCATGACGTTGGAGACAGGCTTGAGCTCCGCCGAAGCGAATCCTCTCTTTTCGGCATTGACGATTGTTCTCAAGGCATCGTTCAATATTCTTCTCCCCATTTTCGCACCCCCTTTTTCTTCGTCTCTTCCGCTCAGAGCTAAAACCCCTGGTGGTTTTCAGTACAGGGAGAGAGCCCATAAGCTTCTTATCATCAGAGTTATATTTGGGCGCTATGGTTTGGGTCTTTGGGCTGCCCACATATCAGGCCCAACTGCTCTAAAAATTATTTTGGGAAATTCTTTGAGTCCCCAAACAGTACTACTTGACTCACTTTGGTCCACAACTTACAAAAATACCCTAAAATTAAGGGTGTTTTAAAAAATCATATAAAAAGTATTTTGAAAGTAAAAAATAATGTGCAAAATTAAGAGTTACTTTTTTTATTTATTAAATAGTGACACAATATTTTAAAAAAAAAAAGTCACACAATGTCACTTTCTAAAGTTTATCATTTTTTTAAATTAAAAATCATTTCACTTTTATTAAAAAGTGATGTTTAATAAAAGTGATATTTATCACTCAAAAAAGTAACATAAATTTCAAGAAAGTGACCAAAAAAAAATGTCAAACACTAAAAAAGTGAAAATACACTAGTTAATACATTGAAATCAATTCAATAGAGTGACATAACTACCGTCTCTCCTCTTTTTGCATTCATTGTCAAACATCTTTAAATCACTTTATTGACAAAATACCAATCAAAACGTCAAGCATCTTTAAAGTAATTCACCGCCACTGTCATCTACCAACTCAATTAACCCATTAATCATATAAGAAGTTTTTTGAAAGTAAAAAATGACATACGACGTCACTTTTTAATCGACGTCACTTTTATTAAAAAGTGACGTTTATAACTAAAAAAAGTGACATAATTTTTTATTTTTATTTTTTAAAAAAGTAATAGGATATAAAAGAGAAAAAAGTGACAAACACTATTGAAAAAAGTGATGTAAATAATCACTACTCTATTAAAAGAGAATTTTCGCACCCCCTTTTTCTTCGTTTCTTCCGCTCAGAGCTAAAACCCCAGGTGGTTTTCAGTACAGGGAGAGAGCCCATTAGGTTCTTATCATCAGAGTTATATTTGGGCGTTACAACTGGGTTTGGGTCTTTGGGCTGCCCACATATCAGGCCCAACTGCTCTAAAAATTATTTTGACTCACTTTGGTCCGCAACTTACAAAAATACCCTAAAATTAAGGGTGTTTTGAAAAATCATATAAAATGTATTTTGAAAATAAAAAATAATGCTCAAAATTAAGAGTTACTTTTTTTATTTATTAAATAGTGACACAATATCACTTTTTTATTTTTTAAAAAAAGTCACACAATGTCACTTTCTAAAGTTTATCATTTTTTAAAATTAAAAATCATGTCACTTTTATTAAAAAGTGATGTTTAATAAAAGTGATATTTATCACTCAAAAAAGTAACATAAATTTCAAGAAGGTGATAGAAAAAAATGTCGAACACTAAAAAAGTAAGAATACACTAGTTAATACATTGAAATCAATTGAATAGTGACATAAGTACCGTTTCTTCTCTTTTTCCATTCACTGTCAACCATCTTTAAATCACTTTATCGACAAAATATCAATCAAAACGTCAGGCATCTTTAAAGTAATTCACTGCCACTGTCATCTACCAACTCAATTAACCCATTAATCATATAAAAAGTTTTTTGAAAGTAAAAAATGAGATACGATGTCACTTTTATTAAAAAGTGAGGTTTATAACTAAAAAAAGTGACATAATTTTTTATTTTTATTTTTTAAAAAAGTTATAGGATATAAAAGAGAAAAAAGTGACAAACACTATTGAAAAAAGTGATGTAAATAATAAAAAAAAAGTGACAACATCAATCAAAACCTTAAAATATATCATTTTATGAAATGCAACCACTCCTCCACCACCACCACTCCACCTCCACCTCCACCAAGGCTAACTCTATGGGCAAAAGGTCACTCAAAGCATTACACCAACCTTTAGTTTCAACCGATACTTCATAAAAGGATATATTAGCACCTGAACATGACATTTGCATTCAAGAGTAATTCTATTCTACCAATCATTCATAATAGAAATAAACACATAATGACAATGAATCAATTGGACTTGAACCAGAGGCTTCATCTCACCTGTTGTCCAACCAAAACTAAAACGACTTTTTTTGCCTCTATGGGCATGGCAGATTGGTAAAGCATGAGGGTTCTCTACGGAGTATCGAAGGTTCGAATCCCCGCGACAGCTGGAAGACAACATTTATGTTCGGGGGTCCTATCCGCACTTCGTAAGTGTGAGGTCCACAGGGAGGAGAACCGTTTCCCCGAATGTCCTGTCCAAGTGTATATAAGCCTTGACCGCATTCGAATTTACCCGGGTGGCGAATCAAGGGGGAAGACCGCCACTCCTCAGGATTAATAGGGTGAAATTCGGACACCTGAGTCATAAAAAAAAAACCGACTACTTTTTCATTTTTTTTTTCCTAACTACTTGTTCAACATAATAATTTTTATATTTTTCCAAAAAATTTCATAAGATCAAAAGGGACAGTTAAAATATGAACATGGTTGAATACATGAGATTTACAACCTTGCTCTTTATAGAAAGTCACAATAAGTAGGAATTGCTTTGTTGCAATCTAATAACCAATAATTCAACAGGGGTTGTTTGATAAAATGGGGGCTGCATTTTGGGCTAACGTGCTTAGCTGGCTTCTCCCAGAACTTTGTAGCTAATTCCTTTTGGAGACTTGTGAACCCTCCCTTTCTATATGTTCAATTACTTGATCAATGCCTTGACATCATTTCCTAAACCT